GGGGGGGGGGGGGGGGGGGGGGGGGGGGGGGGGGGGGGGGGGGGGGGGGGGGGGGGGGGGGGGGGGGGGGGGGGGGGGGGGGGGGGGGGGGGGGGGCTGTCCAGTGCCGGTATGTACCCAGAGAATGAACCGGCAGTATCTTTAGGACACGGCTCTACTGAGAGTACAGACTCGACGATTCAGTCTGTGCCCCGAATAAACCGGCACTTTTTATTGTGGACCGTTTTTGCAGGAGGATTGGTTTAGGTGGGCTGGAGAGTACTACCCGGCACCGGCACATTCAACCGGCGCTAAACAGGGCCCCCCACTGTTTTACATCGAACTTTTATAACCAGGATGGGTCCGAGTCTCGGTGCGACGTGGACTTCTCGCTGCTGAAGGCGCACGTTTGCGGTGTTCGGCGCAACGGCGTCGAACGCGGCGGAAGCGGCAGCGGCAGCGGCAAGAAAAAGCGGGGGGCGGACGACGACAACGATAACGACAATAACCGGCGGGGTGCCGGTGCTGGTGAGTGTAGGGAGGAGAGATTCTCCAAAGCGGTGCCTGTGATTGATTTTTCGGAGGGACCCTTATTTTGGGTGTGTGCGTCAGTTGGACCAGCACGAATGTTAGAAGTTAGAAGGCGTTGGTTGAGCAGAAATCATGAACGTTTCGTTAGTGTTAAGACAACAAGGACAAGAATAAAGTTTGAAGTACTGAACAGACACCAGAACGTTTTGTTGATGTTTATACAAAAACAACAAGTAACATCGTGGATTGCCGTTTCCGATCGCGGCCGAGGCTGGTTTGGGGAGGGGAGTGTACTCGTAGTCGTGCATGCCTGTAGTCGTTGAGGTCATGGACCTCGCGTCCCTACAACGCCGGGACCGAGGGGGGGAGCTTCCCGTTACGTTGACCCGATGGTAACAAATTCCGATGGCATCACCAGCGGCGAGTTGCCCTGACCTCCGTGGTACGTGGCGTCCATCACTGGTACGGCCAAGTTGTGCATTTGGGAGGTATTCTGCGTGGCATCCCTGTTTGGTTAGGCGGCGTTGGAGAACTTTGTATCACACGTGGCTGGCGCGCGGTGCTGGGAGTAAGGGAACCAACCCACCCCCGTGGTTGTTATCGAAGGGAAAGGGAACGTTCTTCGGGGCACCAACACGACACTTTTGCTCCTCTCCTCAACAATGGCGTGTTGACCAAATCACTGAATCAACAACAATTTTTCTACCATCTATGCCATTGTTGGTGGCGACGTTGACACCACGTTTGCTTGTCTCCTCAACAATGGCCATGTTGACCTATTGCGAACACTCCCTGAACGAACACCATTTCTTTACCACCCATGCTATGCTTAGTTGGCGACCTTGACACCACTTTTGCTCTCCTCAAGAGACCGAACAAAAACATCCTGAATTAACCATTTTTCTACAATCCAGGTGGCGAGGGTTTTCATAGGGGAGGACGAGAAGGTGTCACCGGCGGCGGCGGCGGCGGCGGCGGCGGCGGCGGCGGAGGAAGCGCCGGTGGCGACCGGTCCCACAACGATGACCACACGGCGAGGGAGACGAACGGGGGGCCCGACGGCAGCGGCAGGGGGGGGGGGCAC